TATCTAGCTATAAACCCACCAAATTTGAATAACTTCTCTTATCAAATGACCCAATAAATTTAAAAAAATAAAAAATTTTCTCAAAAAAACTTTTATTCTAAACTTTACTCTTTAAACATAAATAACTTTTAAACCATCATCTCCACCAACATAAATCTTTCACCACCTAATAAACAATTTAATTATTTATAAAACTACTGAAATTTATTACTACCTCTTGTTTTGTTCAAAAGTTACAAGCAATTTACTAATAACATATTTTTGGCACTCCTCAGACCTTCAACATTTTCTACTGCAGACATTTGTAAAATTCACAATAAATATAAACATACTGGTACAAGTATATCATCATAACGACTACTTGTACTTGTACTTGTACCACTTGCACTATCTACTAAAAAAACTAGTCCTATAACATTATGCAATAATCCTGGCGAAATAAATTTTTACTCCGCGCACTCAACTCGCATTTAATTACACCTGTTACGAGCATTTTAAAAACCCTCTAAACATTTCTAGAAAAACAACTTTACTACACGCATTAAAAAAAGTTAGCTACCTGCACACAGGTTCGAGACAGGTAGAAATTAAAACTAAATAAACAAAACCGGAAATAATAAAATTCGAAATTTAAATTTCAAATATAAATTTACACGTAAAATAAGTCTACTTATACTACTTATACCTGTTTGTTATATTTAAATGTATAAAGGTGTCAATTATCATTGGGTTTTATTAGTCGTCAAACTATACTGAACTTTCAGTATTCGGTATTGCAGGGTGTATGAGTGATAATTAAATATTAAACAGTGATAAATACGTAAATAAATATATGCTGTGTGGGTAGAGGCAAGTTTACTACCGGCGACGAGTTGACACTTGATTGTGAATTATGTCGGGCGTAGAGTATGAGTAGAAATGCCAAGAACTGATTTTAGATTTTATTTGTGTTGAGTTGTGTTAAGGTAACTTACGAGTATTTTAGTAGAGTAAGAATAGAGTAGAGTAGAACAGGTTTATATTATACGTGTGTTAAATACGAGCTAATTGAATTAAGCTTATTTATCTATTAGTTTTACACTTTTATGTTGTACTGGTTTGTTTCTAGGTAGTTTTTAGGATGTATATTTGTGATGAAATTAGAAATTATTGAGTTTTGAAATTGATTGCTGTTTAAGTTGTTTTTTTGGGAAGTTTGTGGTTTTTTGTTTATAACTTTTGAATGGATAGACCTAGAATGTTCAACAGATAGGTACAGATAGGTACAGATATAGATGAATATGTTATAAATATTTGTGCAAATTTGTAATAGTATAATTTGTTTATATTAAAAGTTATAAACAATTAAAGTTGAGAAATTTTTGAAAAGTTGTGGAAATGAAATGTTTAGCAATTTTGTTTATAACTTTTAGACAAATACATTTAAATTATTGAAATTTGGAATGAAAATAACTAAATACATGAAAAACACTTTCTATAAATTACAAATCTGTGCCACTATTATTTTAAAAGAAATTAGTCTTGAAATTAATAATAGATTTAAAAAGTAAAAAATGCAATTTGTTCGATTTTTGTTAATAACTTTTAAATAAAACACTCCAGAACCTTCAAATTTTGAACCCTTATAAATAAATACATTATAAACAAATCCTTAAATTTTTAAAACAATAACTTGTTTAATTAAAAAGTTATAAACGATCAAAATGACCAAAAAATATTAAACTAAATTTATATCATTTAACACTACTCCAACTCTTATAAAAATCACTAATAATTCAAATTTTACCAAAACCAGAAATAAATCTTTCAATTTATACCATTTCCTAATGAAAACCAAATATTTCTCCAAGATATTTTACTACTTGTACGCACTGATTGAGTTGTTTGGTGCTCGCGTTGTGCATCGTTTCATAATCACCGCGTTTCATCTCCGCGCATAAACATAAAACGCAATCAATTGGCATAATCGGCTCGTTGAGGCGTCGAGCCGCAGGCCAGCACATCTCATCCACGAACAATTTACCACCGCGACTATTTTCAGCCACGCATTGCTGAAAATCTCAGCCGCTGCTATTCATAGCTTACACAACTCTTCATCTACACTTAACCCGACTTAAAACAAGAAATAAGAAAGAAAAAAATCAAACAGGAAAACAGGAATAGAAAAAAATGATGCGGAACATTTTTCAAGTGTCAAGAGAAGTCAGAATATGAATTTAAATATAACGTAAGACGAAAAGTAGAGACGTAACGGAAGTCACACTTTTAAAGCACTTTAATGTTAAGTGTCTTAACTTAAGCCAAGTTTATCAACGTCAAAAGTTACTCGTACTATACGAGTGTTCATGATGATAATGTTTATGTACAGTAGTAAATTTTTTATTAGTTTTATTTTGTTTTATCGATGAAAAACACGAATAATAAAAAACAAAATATGAAACAAAATTAAAATCACGCGATGTGCATGATGTTAAGTGTCAGGAGTCATGTCAGGAGTGTCAGATGGCATAAAAGTATTTGGAAATTAATTACGTCAAATAATGTCAAATGTGATGTTATTGAAATTTATTGCGTTATTTAAGTTTTTTTTATCGAAATTTATCATTTTTTTTATTGTATAGAGGTATAAAAATGTGTTGATAGTAATTATTCATGTCGATGTCATTTTACGAGCCTATAACTTTTATACTAAATAGATTTCGGTTTTGTAATTTTTGGGGTATGTTGGGAGGTTATTTGTTTATAACTGTATGAAATTTGAATGTTCTAGAATATTTAATTTAAAAGTTATTAACAAAAATGATTAGAATTGTATATTTTTGGTTTTATACTTTTTTGACAACTTTGAGATCAAATAACTTTTAAACTAATTAAACAATTAAGTTGAAACTTTAGAGATTTGTTTATAAACTATCTGTTTACTTGCGTACTAAATTTTAATATTCTAAATAATTTATTTCCAAAGTTATAAACAAAAATAGCAAAAAATGTATTATTTTTTGTTTCATTTTAACAATTTAAAAATCAAATATCTTTTAAACCAATTAAGCAAAAATATTGCAATTTTCAAAATTTATTTATTAACTAATTATTTATCCCTGTACTAATTTTTAATATTCAACTATTGTTAATTTAAAAGTTATAAACAAAAATATAAAAAATAAAACTGTTTTAAAAAACAAAAATTTATATCTTTAATACCAAATATCTATTAAACTAACAAAAATAAAATATTGTTATTCTCAAGTACTATAAACAATATACCCATCTACCTATATTCAAAATTTCAAAGTCCCAACTCCTTCTATACAAAAGTTATCAACAAAATACTAAAAACCAACATTAGCGAATTTATGCACAGTCACAAAATCCACTTCACTTTACCTCACTTTAGTTTATTTCGCTCGTAGTAAGCACTAAAACTACAATTACAACCTCAACTTCAGCTAGCCAACAAACCACGTGCATAACCACACAAATACCACCTTTACTACGCTCGTTAACCTGACACACGTCAAGTAATTATCCTCGTTGCACAATAAAACACAATAAAACTCAATGCAAAATTGCATTTCAATGCAAAAAGTTACTTTTATCCAAACGAATTTTTTATTTTTAAATCTTTAGAGATAAAAGTCTAGTAAAATAATACGGTGAGAAGAACGGAGCGTAAAGTGCGAAATTTATATAGAATATTTAATAATAACTCGTGAGTTGTTCAAGCACGTGCTTTTTGCGCTCGTCGAGAGGTTCGAGCATGGATCGCATGGTTTGCTTGATTACATAATTGCAGTATTCGTAAACGACGTAAGCGTACGAGTAATGTAAACGACATAACGCACCACAGTCGAACAGCCGAGCAGCGAAACAGAGGATCAATGTTTAGAGGATAAATGTATAAAACAAATGAATTTTTGATATTTTTAGAAATATGGGAATAGATAAAATGTGTCTGTTATCAAGTCGTATAACTTGAGTTATGAAAGTCGTAGAAAATAGAATAAAACATCATTGGAAAGAGAATTTATTATACTTTTATATTGTATTTAGTAAAATATTGTATGTTTTAAAGTTTATTAATTATGATTGTTTTTGTAAAAAATTAATTATTTTTAGTTTTTAAAAATTTATTTTGAGGTTAAATAAATAGAAAACTAATTAATATATTGTAATTGTTTCTTTGGTATATTATAGCAGTACTATTTGGTTATGTTCTACGAAAATTTGATTAAATTATACTGAGTGTTTCAAAAGTTATTGCAAAAAAAATTGAATATTTGCATTTTTTATTTTTTTGTATTCAAATTAATTTAAAGTCAACTTTAAACATTGATAACTTAAAAACTACTAGGTATTATTCAATTTTTTAAACAGATATCTCTAACACCACTAATCCTCAATATATTTTTAAGTTTTTGAGGTTATAAATAATTTAGTTTAGTTTTTATCAACAAATTTGTAAAAAATATCAATTTCTTAAAACTTAAATTTTAATCACTGATAACTCAAAAACTATCAGTGATAAAACAACAATCTTGCTTGAAAAGATAGATAATATTAGCAACTATTAAATTGTTTTTATAAAAGTTTAAAAACTGTAACCAATTAAAAGTTACAACAAATTTAGTCACACTTTTGCAGTTTTCTATATTTTTATATCGATTTTTTTTAAATGTTAACTTTAATCATTAATAACTCAAAAACTATTAACAATAATTAAATTTTCTAAACTGATATCAATAAACCAACTAATCAAGAATATTTCCACAAAATTTCAACACCATAAACTAATTACCCTACTAATTATCAACAAATTAGTAAAAAATGACAAATTTATCAACCTTCATATAAAATCCTTCATAACTCCTAAACCATCACACTTAAACCAACCATCCTTACACCAAAACATAGACAATTTCATCATCTTCAAACTCCCTTTTAAAAAAATATCCTACACCTCACCAATCCTCCACAATTAATAAAAACGTCAAAAAACTCACCGGTATCAATAGCCAGTGCACGCCATCTCGTCTTGCGGGCCTTCTTGCCCATCTTCCGGTCCGCTGCGCACGCCTCTCTTCGGAAAAACCCTCAAAACCCTCAAATCACCCCGCAACGACCACCACACGACCTTTAACCATCAATGTATCTAACAACAATCAACTCCAAATCCTCCAAAAAAATTCACCGCAAATTAAATTTTATCGACGTTTTGCGCGTTTTCGCCGGCTCAGCTTCCGCACACACTCGCCACTCACACGTGCACACCGCCGGCGCGCCGCCTCCACCCGCCTTCAGGGCCCGGAATTGATTTTCCAATACTTGCCACCACACCGGCCGAAAATTACAGTTCTCCCGCAGATTTCCACCAAAAAAATCCACAAAAATCAAATTTTACTCATGCGCGCATTACGCAATCATTACTTTTGCACATTCATTTAAATTTAACATCGGAGCAATTAGCATTCGTGTTCACCGCCGATTGATTTTAGCCACGCACATTTTCCGCATGTTTTTTTATTCACTGGATTAACTCATTTGCTGCGCACTGCGTGTTATCAATTGTTTTTGAGTTTAGAAGAGGAAATGTTCTTGTAGCGTGTGCGTCGGCGGGTGGATGCACCGGTTAAGTGTGTGCGCTGCGCGTTCGACGGACGCCTGAGACCGAGAGACACATTCGGCCCCGGTGACTTCTACTTTGCGATTACGTAACGTCGCGACGCGCGCGAGCCGGCGCCGTGCGTCGAACCTTGCCCCCCACACCATTTAGATGTATGCGAGCACACGCCTTCGTTTTCCGGCATTTTTGCGTTTATTTCGTGATTATGAAGTATATACGTCTTTTCAAGTGGTTAAATTGGTTGGATATGTTAGATATATTGTTTATGTTATGGTTAATAAGGTTATATTTACCTTATTTTGCGTTTTTTGTTGATTAAACGTTGAACAAGGTTGAAAAATTGAATTGTTAAAACTGTCAATCATCTTGGTACGAATTAATGTCAAAGTGGTACTTGTGGCGCCCCCTAGCGGAATGCGCTTTAAATAATGAAATATTCAAATTTTATTTTTGTTTTTTGCAATAAATAATTAGAAATTTAATGTACAAACAATATTAGTTATTAATTTAAACATTTGTAAGTTAAATTTTTATTGTTTAATGCTTTAATTTGTTTATATTTTAGTTTAATTATTTTTTGAAAAAGTACGGCACATTTGTAAATAATAATCAAAATAGTACTGCTAGCGCCCTCTAGTGGAATGCATATTTACTATTTACCTGTTTTATACATTATTTTTGTTTTACATAATAAATAACAAATAATTCTAAATACTAACAATATAAATTAATATTCTAAACACTTTTATGAATTATTTTTATTACTTTACGTTTGAATTTGTTTTTAATTTAATTTTAATTTTTAGTTGTGAATGTATGGCAACCATACGTACACATCTGTCATCTTTCATCTTGCATTGTTGAAGTTGTCAGATAATAAATAATTTCGCCATAAACAATGTTTCCGCGTTAATTAACAACTTTGTTTCTACATAAATCAATACCTAAACATTTCACGATGTCGCCAATGTTTAAATATATCCTGATTTTTGCTTTGTGCGCGTCTGGTGAGTAATTTTCTAGACAATTTGTTGGTTAAGTTGATAAAACACCTAAAAAACGATATAAAACAATGTTTCACTAATATTATCTACGATTTTTTACTGATAGTACACTCCCAACGTACCAAAGACAAGATGTACGATGAAGTCGACGGAATATCCGCTTGTTTTCGTCGATTGAATGGCACACACCAAATTGGCTGCTCATGTAAGTTAAATCACTGATAACAGAGCAACAAAAGACATAAATTGATAATTTCCACAGCAAAAATCTAGAAAATATATTTATTTATCACCATAAACAATATTTAATATAAATATTTGAATTTTTCAGCCAAACGAGATGGTTCAACTGGTGTGATCCACTTTGTTGACTCGCCAAGTGATTTAAACTTTGTTTTGGATGTCAAAAATGGTTTAGACTACATCCCAGTCATCCCAATTGAGTTATTCACTAGAGAACTCAATAGTAAACTACAGCTGCTGGACCATATCAGTGGTTTACTAGTGTATAACATTGAAAATGAACAAAAATTGCCTGTAAATCACTACAGTCCTGATTTAAAGTGTCCGAATGAAGGTAGTAACATCCAAGGCACTTGTGACACCAAATGGAACTTCTTTGGTAACAGTCTCCTGGCTGAAGACTTCAAATTCCCGGTTTTTTACTTGGATAAAGAGAAAGAAGTGAAAAAAGTCCGCGATTGCTTCGGAAAGTTTAATAATTTCAGTTTTGATGAGCATACAAGTCGTTCTCTATGCAGTATTGAACTTCAGAGCTTCATGTTTGCTGCCTATGACACACCTACATGTTTAAGGCGAGTAAAAATATAATTTTATTGATTTTTTTGTAAAATTTTGTTTTTTTTGTGTTTAGACGATCGCAATCCGTTGTAAACATGAATCCGATGAAGTTTTGTGATGCTTTGGGTGATCAGAACGTGTGGGCATCGTTGTTTCCAATTGGGAATTCAACTCTATCGCCTGCTGTTGTTTTGAAGAGTAATATCAAGCAGATTTTGGTCGTTAGTCGCATTGACGCCACTTCGTTGTTTTATAATTTGGAACCTGGTGCGCAGAGCGCTGTCACGGGGATGGTAACGTTACTAGGAGTTGCTGAACTGCTCAAGAGGATGTTACCCACCTATGAAGATTATGGTAAGTTGAAAATATTTGATAGAATTTGTTTTATTGCGGTTTTTATGATTTTTGTTGGTTTTTTGAGGATAATTCACGGAAAAAATTAGATAGAATTGTTTTGTTTGGATATTTTGGTAGATTATGAAATTATTTATGTTTTGCACTTTATTTTATTGAATTTGAGTGATTAGTTTAGTTTTTACAAGAGTTTAAAGTTCGGTTTTGTTGGTTATGTGTAAAAGTATGACATGTCTTTACAAAAATTTGAATAACTCAGGAAATAATTAAGATAATGACAATTTGTTTTCGAAATATGAAAGCACATTAGTTAACACATTATTAACACTTTGTTTTATATTGTTGATTGATTTAGTTTAATATTTATTAACATAAATATCAAAAATTTAGTTATTTTTGAAAAAATTGATTTTTGTTAAAAACTTAAAATTAACAATAATACGAGCAAAAACAAGACTTGGACTCATACTCATTCAATACTTTGGTTAATTATCTATAAAATGACGTTTATTTCATATCAATATCTCAATTATTTTAGATTTTACAACACTTTTAAACTTTTTTTCTCTAATTTTCGTCATTTTACCGCGCAACTCATCACTTAAACTCAAATATCTCCTAAAATATTCAACATAAACCCAAACTCTTTTCACAATATAAAATTACATTAATCCACACACAAACCCACCAAATATCAACATTCTATCTCAATTACAACCACCTCATATCAACCATTTTATAAAAACTTAAATTTTCTTAATTTTAGATCGAAACGTTGTCTTCATCCTCTTCAACGGCGAAAGCTTCGACTACATAGGCTCCCAACGCATAGTCTACGACATGAAGAAAGGCGAATTCCCCCGTTCTGAATACACATCAACCACCGAACACTCCAACCCCATCCGCTTCGAAGACATCGACACCGTCTTCGAAATCTCCCAAATCACCAACACACCAAAACTCCACCTACACCTTCTAAACGAACCCGAACAAAGTGAATTCCTCAACATATTAAAAAAGAACCTACTAAACATTGAAATACACACAGACACCATCCCACCCACATCCATCCAATCATTCATAAGAGAAAAAAACGCACCCAAGAGTCTTGTGCTTACAGACTATGCAACCAACTTCACAAATGCATACTACAACAGCATCTACGACAACTCAAACAATATAAAATTTGTTTATCAAAACATAACCAATGGAGACGATGTAGATACACTCCCAAAAGACAGTATACAGGTATTTATCGGTGGAGTGGTTGATGGCATAGCTAAAACACTCTACGAAGCAGTCACTAAGAGAGAATATAAGGGGACGGAACGTTATAACAAATATTACATCAATGAATTGTTGCATTGTTATCTTGAGTCGGCAAACTGCAGTATACACAGAGCTCTGCGAAAAGGCAGCTTCCAACCAGTACCTTTGAGTTTATATGTTGGTGTCACTGTCAGTTCCAACATTATGACGAATTTATTAGCATTGACATTTGCATTCTTCATGGGTGATACGATTGGAAAAGGTGCTTGTCCTGCGAACATGTCTTCACATGTTTATTATCATTTCAACATGTCGCAGAGTGTTTTACAGAGGAATGAGACACAGTGTTATAGGATTTCGATGAATTTGACTGATGCGGAGAGTCCGGCGTTTTTAATCGATGGTAATTTATTTGTTTTTATTAAATTTTTGTTTAATTTTTGATGTTTTTATTGTTTAGGATATGATTGGACTTCTGGTGAATATTCCTCATGGACTGAAAGTGTCTGGAGGGAGTTCAATGTGAGATTATTCCTGAAACCAGCCCGTGCGCATGAAATCATGACTCTGGTCGTTGGTTTAGTTGTGTTTCTGGCGTCGATGGCGATTACTCTGTGTATCAATAGGAAGAAGGATGTTTTGTTTGAGAATATTACTACTACCACGTGAGTTTTGATTGGTTTTGTAGGGAGAGTTATTGGGTTGTTTGATTATGATGGTTGTTTAATGTTGTAGACCACCAGCAAACTGCTAAATGGCTAAAACCTTGGGTTCTCTTGTGATATTGACAGACAGTGTCCAAATTTTCTACTAAAGACTTAATTGATTCCTTTTACATTTAATTATTATTGGTTTGACTTGTAATGCGTTTGTTCATGTATTAGTATACATATTTATATTTCCAAGTTTAAAATACATAACTTATTTCTAACTAAAATTGAGGTTTTATTTAATTGCGATGTATAGGTTTGAGTTGTGGGTATTTTGGGGTTAGATTTGGTTAGAGATTTGATTATTTTACTTGTAGTTATTTATTTGATTAGTTTATCTTTATTAGTTTAGTTTTTATTTAGATTTTTGATTAGTTTTAACTGTTTTTAAGTTATATCTTGTATTGATAGAAAATTACTCATTTTTTGGTATAAAATTGTTAATATCTCGTAAATTAATTGAAATATTTCATTTTTCTTTCCAGATTATGAAAATACGTTAATTATAGTATAGAATAGAGTTTAGTTTAAGTTTCCAGCTTAATTATTTTAGTAAATATTCAATAAAACACCAACAAAACGACAATAGCTATTTGTTTTTAATTTTTACTAAATAACGTTGTAAATATTAATAATAGAGCCATTTTGTTTGTTGATTTCAGTGAAGAATTAACTTCTTAGTTCATTTTAATTAATTTCAATACAATATTAGCATTTGTTTATGTTTTATTTCGATATTTTGATAAATTTTAACTTTTTTTAGGTTATATTTTATATTAATGTGAATTATACATTTTCTGACTTAAAATTGTAAATATCTACTAAACTAATATGAATATTAAGTTTTTCTTTTCAGATAATGAAAGTACACTAAAATTTGTGCAGGAACGTGTTTACTTTAAGTATGAAACTTGATTCTTTTTATAAATATTCAGTAAAACAAACAAAAATTATGTTTTTTTGGTTTATTTCTAAGATTAAACAAAAATTAAGCCAATTGTAGCTGTTAATCGTATACAATCTTATACTCTGTTGATTTTCCTATCTAATACAGTTTATTACATTCATTTATTGCAATTATTTTGCATTTTACACGCGTTTTAAGTTCATATTGTTTAAAAGTTAAAATATGATGCATAATTACCATTTTCAACGATTTTTATAGTTTTCTACAATAATTCTATGTCCTATCTACACAAAATATTAATTATCTCAATAAATATTAAAGACTTCTATGAAAATAACATATCCACCTACAATTTTCATTAATTTAATAAACTTTAATTAAAGTTTTTGTATCTCCCCATTCTACAATCACATGCTTAGAGGTTAGAAATGTTGCGAGCGCTAAATTTAAGAAAACTCAACAAACTCTGCAATTTTACATATTCAAAATGTGTGATTACACTCCAGAGAACCCTATTAACATCCCCAACACAAAATGCGAAATTATTCGTGGACAGGGAGAATACTTACTGCTATGGAATCATTGCACCATTATTCGACACACAAAAAGTAAGAATAAACCTAAATAACTATTAAAATACATCATTAACAACAATAAAACATATTTAATAACATAAAACACATATACTTTAAGTTATACTCTTATTAATTTTGTGGTGCTTTAGGTGTTTCCTGAAAAAAATGAACAAAATGAAGACATGACCACTGAATGGTTTAATAACACATTAAATCATCACTTTCGAAAGTCTACAGCCTCTGAAATAGTCTCAACATTCAAAAAAGTGCTTCCATTCTGCATACAACACAATATAACTATATCAGATACAAGATTCGATGCATTAGTTGATGGTTTAATGGATCATGCTGAGAAACTTACAGATAATGAACTCCTAACTCTTCTAGATGTATTAAATGACTATCCAACAGTTGATTCTATAAATGCTCACAATTATCATGATGTTTGGAGTTGTCTGGATGATATATCCGGTAGAAGAATAGGAATTTGGAAGCCTGACATGTTAATAACAGTGGCTGAAAAGTGGTACAAGTTGGGTTTGGGCAGAGTTGGTGACTTCACCTTCAATGCCATTGATAAAATGTCCAAGAAACCTGAGCATAGGTTGACTAAAGATCAACTGGTGCAGGTGTTCTTTCTGATGAATGTTTCCAGGAGGAGATTGATGCATTTTGAGTATGAACATGCTTTATATTTGAAAGTGGAGGAGATGACTGTTGATGAGTTGGCTATTGTTGCTCTGGGGTATTTTAAGACTCAGACTAAGGTGAAAATTCCGCAGATTCTAGCTGAGATGCTGCGGAAGGCGAAAAACGCCGAGGATATACACGAGATGACTTTGTGTGGGATTTTGAAGGTTAGTTTTGGTTGAGTTTTATGGAAAGTTTTATAAAATTTGCCATATCTCCCGAATTATTTGAAATATTTGAAATTTTTAAATTGATTATGGAAGAGTATTAATTAACGCATAATCTGCTTTTTATTTTGTTATGCTAGGTATAATAGTTTAAAAGATATTGAGAAAAATGTACAAAATTACGTTTTTTGTGCGTTTTTGTTAATAATTTGCAATTTAAGATTGATAATCGTTTAAAGTCATAAATATCATTGATGTATGGTATAGTTTAGTTAATTATTGATCAAAATACGATTAGTTTATTAAAATATCTCTATTATTTTAGTTTTTACAAGAGTTTTAAGTTTACATTACGTTTATTTTTATGTATCGGCCATGACACATGTTTTCATGTTACAAAAAGTTAAATATCTCGTGAACTAATAGAAATATTAACAATTTCTTTGCAGATTATTAAAGTATAATTAATTCCGCAGAGTTTTCAATATAATTTATCATATTAACTTTGACCATTTAGTAATTATTGCAGAAAATCTCAAAAGTAACGTTTTTGTGCATTTTTGTAAAAATATCGAAAATTAAGAATGACAAACATTTAAAAGGAACAATATGATGCTTGCATCTCATACTTTAGTTAATTATTGACCGAAATACGTTTAGTTCATTAAAATATCTCCATTAATTTAGTTTTTGCAAGAGTTTAAAGTTCACGTAAAAATTATTCTACTTTGAGGTTAAAAAACAAATTATTTTCTCTCAGAAAAACATAAATATCTCTAAAACCAATCAAGATATCAACAAATTTCAAACAAATTATTAAACTACATTAACCACAGTATAATCTACAACTTATTTCACATCTCAACCTATTTTAATTCATTAATTATTAACAAAAACATAAAAATAATAAAATTCTTTATTTTAAAATTTCAGACAGTGAGATACACTTCCCATCCATCTTTAGCCGACCAAATGCTGGACTTCATGGAACATATCACCCCTAAACTCCCCAACCTCTCAACCCTCTGCGTCCTGCACGCCGCCCTCCTAGGCACAACCCTCCAAATCCTCCACAAACCATCTTTAAGCATTGCAGCACAAAGAATAGCCTCAAACATCTCCAACGTTGAAATGGTCCGACTCAAAGACATCGAACGCCTTCTATTATCACTAACAATGCTCGACTACGACCCACAAACAACACCCTGTATATTCAAGGCATGCATGGCTGAACTGCACGAAGAACGCCGCAATACAGAAATAATCAGATACAGGAAATGCCTGGGTGCAGCGCTGAGTTTCCTCAGCATAAAGAACATGTATTCCATTGACTTATTGAAACAAGTGTTAGATCCTGAATTAATCGAAGAAGTTTATGGTAAATCAGCAAAAATGTTCCCCAGGGAGTTATTCGTGCTCAATATGAACACATACCTTGAAGTTCCTGAATATAATGGACCTAGATTAAGTAAAATCAAACAAATTAAGTGCGCAAAATGGCTGACGACGTTCACACCGGTCAAAGAACAGACTAAAAGGGTGACAGCGATGGATAAATTGATTCTGGACGTGCATGGAGTACTGGAAAACATTGTAGGAGGACAGGAGAATATGTTTATTGAACATTTACTACCACAATATCTCAGGGCAGGTAAAAATTAACCTAAAAATGATTTTTTTTAATTTATAGGTTATTTTTTAATTAAAATTTGTTTAAGATGTGGTTATTTCTCGTGATAAACTTAGTAAAAAATTTATAAAACCTCAGGGTTTTGATAATTATGAGTTTGGTGAGCTTATACCTGCACCAAAGGATGAAAACAAGGATTATTTCGCTATAGTTATCCTTGGATGGAACGCAACAGTTCGTGGGTCGTCACATCCGGTTGGTTTAGCACACATGAAGCTACGCCATCTTAAAATACTAGGCTACAAACCTTTCTTTGTAAGTTTTATTAATTTATCCAAAAAAATCATATTTTCTTGTTGAATTTTACTTTAAATCATGTATTTTTAGGTTATATGGAATGAATTCTCACCTCTGACAAAAGAAGACAAGCATAGATACATAGAAAACAAAATACAACAATATTCATGATGATAACAAGGTATTTTCTGTTACTTTTCACATAGACCTTCATTATATTCTCTGATAATTATCTCGAGTGTTGATTGAATATAATTTGCATCTGTTGCGATGTTAGATTGTTCATAAAGTTTGTTTCTTAACTCTGAGCAGTACATAACTCGTGTATTCAACAGTGGTTCTCTTGCTTGTGTGATAACTTCTTCATTCGAGCAGTTATCTCTTGCTTTGCATGCTTTTATACTCTTTTTGATTGTGTCTATGTTTTCTTCGTTCATTTTCTTGAACATTTCACCAATTTCTATCGAATAATCTTGTGTCATTAGATTCTGTATGTTATCCATGACTTCATTGATGTAATCCTTTCTTCTTTGATGTATTAATTTACACATTGATGAACTATTCTCATTTGTGTACTTTTCTGTGAATGTTTTGTACAAATTCGTGAGGTTTTTATAGATTGGTTGGAATTCTTCACTTGCGTCTTGATTCCATGTTGTTAGGAGTGTTGTCATGTTGTTTTGCGCGTTTTCTGATGATTTTAGGAGGTCTTGGACGTTTTGGGCTGATAATATGTGTTTGGTGAAGGAGTCTATGAAGTCTGCTGGACATGTTTTATAGGAATGCGTTGAAAAAACACATTTTATGATTATTAATGTTAATATTGTTGCTGTTACTTGCAACATTTGACTGTTTATGATATAACTGAATAATTTTTTAATATTCTATTGGTATATATAGAGGAAGTTGTTAATTATTGCTAAACATGTTTCTTTTTCATGGAAAATCATGTTTTTTGTTGATAATTGGTGTTTACTTGTTTTATCTCAGTTTTTATCATATAACTCGCGGAGTTTTAATGATAGAATAATTTTGTTTGAAAATATGGATAGATGATTAAATTGTGGGTTATTTGGAGTTTAGAGTGCAGTTTTAAAGTTTTTGGTTTATTATTTATAAGACTTTGAAGTTGGTGAAGTTTGGAAAGTTCTTACATTGTTTGGTGAAATGTTATACTCAACTTTAAAGTCTTATTAAACAGGAAGTAATTGTGGAAAAAGTTATGTTTAACTTTTTTTTGATAAAGAATTTAATTATCTATCATGTTATTAAATAATAATTGTTTTATTGTTATTAGTTTATTCGTAAATTAGTAAAAACTAAAAAGATGCAATTTTGTTGTTAAAAAACGTAGTCGCGTCTTTGGACATCAATAATATATTAACTAAACGTGTTAACAATATCAACTAAACTAGTTTTGCTGGACAATTTAATTGGTTATTTATATCTGAAGAGAAAATTAATTTATCATAAATAATTCTCGAGATATAAACAAAAATCTAAAGTTTTTCGAAAATTTTATTGTAAAATATAATATGCAGCTTTAAACTCTTATAAAACCTGAACTAGTTGTGATAAATATCTGGTTTAACTTTCATTTGATAAAGAATTTAATTATCTCTAATAATCTAAAAAGATTTGTGTTCTATTGTTATTAGTTCTTGCATAAATTGATAAAAACTAAAATGGCGCACTTAATTTTCTTAAAAAAAACGTATATGCACTTTAAACATAAATAACTTATTAACTAAATATGAAAACAATCTCAACAAAACTGTTTTTGGATAGATAATTTAATTGTTTATTCATTTCTAAAAACAAAATTTAATTATCTCAAATACTTCTCGAGTTATCCTCAAAAAACCAAACCATTTCATTTTTGATCAAAACAAAATTTATTTGAATTGATCTTTTGTAAACTCGTTTCTACACCTGACCGATTGACTCCGTCGCTATGCCAACGCACCGGTGGTGGTTCTACTAATTAGAGCGGCCTTTGTCCGCCGCCACCGCCCCCAGAGCCGCCGCTAGAGTAATTGCCGCGCGGCGGTAATTAGCGCGATTTGCGTAATTTCGCAATTTCCATCCGCGTTTTTACGCCGGCGGCGGCAAGCGGTGCGCAAATCAAAGCAACACCGACCGCCCCCGGCACCGCAGCTACACCACAACCTCCGCAAGACCGGCCTGCGCTATTAAAATTAACATTCGGTGGCGCGGCGCCGCTCGCAAATTAATGCCAACGCTTAAGAATGCGCTTTTTGCCGGCGCGAAATGAGCGAACGGCGGCGGCGGGCGTTTTACAGGTGTATAATTACGCGCGCCGCCCGGGGGCAACTTGCGGATGGTCGAGATCGTCGACTAATTATGTAAGCGGACGCTTTTTCTTTTAAACCGCAGAGTTATTAAGACTTTTCTGCGTTTAATTATCTTTACTTTTATTTTTTTATCTGTGAGGAAGTTTTTTTAACATTTATTGAGTTTTTAGGTTTTTTACTTTTATTTTTAAAATTTTGAGACATATTTTACGCAAAAGTAACTTGTTTTTCGTATATATTACAAAAATATTTTGAGAGGCGGTTTTTAGCCACCCCCGACTGTTATAATAGGAAGTTTTATATATCATTTGAAAGATAATTTAATAATCTATCGAATAGTGAAAACTAGACATTTTTATCATCATAAGTTTTCACATAATTTGAAAAAGAAATTCTTCGCGAAACCGGAAATAATTTTTTTCTTTAGAAAAACAGAGTTTTCTTGCATTTTTCTTATGTTTTATTTATATTTATGATATTTTGAGATTATTTTTACACAAAATTATCATATTTTTTAAGTTTATCAGCATTTTCCGTATTTTTTACAAGAATATTTTGAGAGGCTGTTTCTAGCCGCTCCCGACTATAAAATTAGGAAGTTTTATACATCATTTGAAAGTTTATTTAATAATCTATCAAATAGTTAAAACTAGACATTTTTATGTTCATTAGTTTTCCCACAATTCACAAAAGAAAATATTTTTCAAACCGGAAGTCAACAAAAATACAAAAATAACCCCGAAAAACTTCATAAAATCATCAAAAAATCACTAAAAATAAACATTTATATAATTTTCCAACATAAAAATCACAAATTTTCTATTTTTTTTTTATTTTGCAATGATTTTTATCATTTTTTTCTTTTTCCGTCTGTCTGGAGACAAAACACATTTGCGTTTGCTCGTCTCCCCTCGGCGACTTTGGCACATCGCGACGATTTCGTGTTCTACATTGCTGCGCAATGCCACATACCAATACACTTTCCGTTCGTTCGGTACGTTCGTTGAATTTGTTTGTGGGCAACAATTTGAAAGTTTCAATCGTTTTCGGAGTCGTGCGCAATAGCCGGCGGCGCTTTCTGCGCTCGCGTGGTTTTCCTCGGCGGAGTAATGCGAAATTGTCGAATTTTCGCCGCATGCCCGCCGGCGGTTTGGGATTTATGCGATTTATGTGATATTCCGGCAAGCACGCTCGCTTTAATATAAAACTTGTTTGGATAACTTTCATGTTGAGTGTTTGCTTAATTTATTCACCAGTGTCAGTATTTTGTAATTATCTCGGGAAGTAGAAGAGATAATTATGTTTTGTTTCCGGGGTTTGATAGAGTATTAGTTTGGGGGTGGAATAGAGTTTATTTTGGGTTTATAGGATGTTTGGGTGATTTTTTTATTTTGTTTTAAAGTTTGTTTTAGTTTTTTTCGATTTTTTTAACAAAAATTGATTTTTATGTACACCTTGTATAAATTTAGGGTGTACCCTGTATAAAATCTTTAAATATCTTTAATTATGTATCGTTTAGTGAAAACTAGACATTTCTATCTTAATTAGTTTTCTCATAATTTAAAAAAGAAAAATTTTTGCAAAAAATAAATCATTTGGCAATAATTTTGAAAAATGAATTTTGTTACTTTTTATTAATTTACACAAAAACTATTAAAAATAAAACAAATATCTATTCAGATTATAATAGATAATTAAATTCTCTTTAAATACACTTTAAATTTTCCCTCTAACATTATTATTACACCAATTATTCATGATTTTAAACAATTTTCCACTTTGAAAAAAACTCATCCCCTCACTAAAATTAACATAATTCCATACCTAATTACCCAAAACAGAAACAATTTCCTCACAATACAACTATAATCCCCACCCTATGATCCCCGCAAAACCAAATAATTCCACCACCCCCCGAAACGAAATAATTCCCCATTCAACATCAAACAATCCACGCGCAATCTCAGCGACGCAAACAATTCGCGATAAATTTCGATCCGCTGCAGCGGAATAATCAATGGCGTCGGAAATCAGCGCTTCGGCCGCAGTCACCTGCACACACCCACCCACACATACATATACACGCAGGAGGCGGGGGCGGCGGTTTCGTGGTGCGGTGACCAGCCATTGTGCGCGCGCGTTTATGATTCCAATTTGCGGCCGCACAATCCCCGAGCGACGAGCGTATGGCAATTCACGGCGATACGATTTATCTCGTATTCCCACCCCCGGCGGCGGCGGCGGCGGCGGCGGCGAAAACCACCCCCAATATTCCTCGCAACCTGCACGCAATTCAAAACATGTCGTGTATTTACTATTTACCCCACGCATATTGACACAAACAATGATATAGATATACAGGGTGTTTGTACAAATTTTTTATTATTTTTTAGAAATAATTGAGGCTTGTTTTTGATTTTTTTTATAAAAAAAATATTTTTGTGGAAACACTTTGTATAAATATGTTTTAGAGATGAGTTGCATATTGACAAATACAATAATATGATTATACAGGTTGTTTATGAGAAATATTTCAATTTTTCTTTGATTTTTTTATATTTTTTTGTAAAATAATAATTTTCTTAGCAACACTTTGTATAAATAAATTTATAAATAACTTACATATTGATATAAACAATAATATAAATATACAGGGTGTTTTTGTGAAGTATTTCAATTTTTTTCTTGGAAATTTTCAATTTTTTGCATAAATTTTACTTTTTGAGAACACTTTGTATAAATATGTTTCAGAGATGAATCCGAATCATTTTCCGGTTAGAATTAATTAAATTTTAATTGAAATCAAACACCAGTGATTACTGGGGTGGTCGGGGCGGCCGAAAAACTAACAAAATACGCCATTTGTGCGAGTTTTAACGCCAACGCACGAAAAACCAATAAAACCGATGCGGAAATTTAATTAATAAATAAATACGATTCTATTTGCTCCGGCGCCATTTTAATATCGTATTTG